GTGTGTGTGTGTGTGTGTGTGTGTGTGTGTGTGTGTGTGTGTGTGTGGTTGAATGCCTAAAAAAACTAATCTGACTAGCCCTCCAGCACTCACATGTTTATGCTATGGCACTCACATGTTTTGTTATGTGTGCAAAAAAGGGACCATCTGTTTTGTTCTTTCTTTCTCTTTTAAGGAAGCTTAAATAACATGAAGTCACTCCGTGTCTTCAAAGTAGTATATATGAACACTTAAACCCCAAACAAAAAACAACTGAACAAAGAAAAAGACATTTATCACCATCTCTGAAGATTTGGCTACCTTTCTCTCCGGGCTGCACTTTGTCAAACTTGGTTTGATTTTCATTTCATCACAATTTTTGCTTCAATGCTGTTTTTCTCAGTCATTTTTTATTTCGTGTTCATACGAAATCATCACGTGCTGAGGGTGATTTCCTCAACCGACATTTTTTTTCAAATAAACCCCCCCCGACAGTTTTTGGGTTGATAATGTTTTGCAAACATTTACAGTGTACACGCCACTGGGACCCTGCCCAGCATGTGCACATGCTGCGAATCCCCCTCTGTTCCACTGTAATTGCTGCCACCCACAATTTCCACTTGCCTCACAACATCAGTTCTGCTTGCTGTAAGCACAGACACACTCATCTGACATGTCCTGAAAACAATTAACTTGACTCTTTTATCCACATTTCAACTGAGTTGATTCACTTGATCATGTAGTTTGCCAAGAAGTAAAGAAACTACTAATCAAAATCAGAAAGTGCTCACAATTGGACTATCTTATTGAGGTTACTTAGGGCACTAAAGATTTGATCATTTATGAGAATTATTTCAAATTATTGGTGTTTTTATCTGAATGAGGCCTCAAAGCGTAGATTGTCTGACCTCTGACGACGGAGTGAAGCTGTTACGATCTACTCACAGTTTTTATTTTGTAACTGATTTACAGTCTGTGACAAATGTGAGGCAAGTCCATTTGACACTTAAACTTCCCTATATCACAACACAACAGGAAAGCTAGTGAGAAGATGCACAGCACGTCTACAACAACACACGGGCACAAACAGCCGCAGTACGCACATTTACATGTAAATACACACATAAACATAGTGGCTAACAGAGGAGGAACTAACATCACCCACAGGATCTTATTTATAGAGGCGCTGAGCAGAAACACAGAAACAATGGGCAGACTGTGCTGAGAACATGGGTAAATACCAGTTTGCAGGAAATGCAAATGAACGAGTCTGACACCAAGGCCATTTAATGGCACCTGGCCATTAGTTAAAGAAGATAGAAGCCTCCTTTTTGAACAGCGCTTACCGAGAGCGGGAAGCACAACTCTGCGTTTGCATAGTTGCAAATTCAAATTTTATTTTTGGACAGTAAACTACCCTAAGAAATGTCTTAATCAGTCAACTGCAAAAAAGTTGTAAAAATATTTTCGGGACCAGAGATGCCACAGAGCTGTTTATGCTTTTATACCAAGATAGCAAATCTTGTTTTTGCATGATCATAAGATCATTCATGATAGAAGTTTCCCCAGAAGATTCCGACATCTCTAATCGCTTAAACATGAGAAAATTAGCTTTAGATTCTGAAGATTAAACAAGTGATGATAAACAGTAATGATGATAGGAGATGACAGCTAACACCAGTCAAGGCATGCGTGAGTGAAGCTGATTGTTCAACTGTCTTCCCATGAGCACAGGTAGTGGAGTCATTGGGAATAGCTCAAAATTAAACCTCTACTTTGCTGAAATCAGTGGCTGGCCTAAAGCCAACACCACTGTGTTGCGCAATGAGAAGAAACTATACCAGGCTGGAACATATCAACTCCAACCTCGAGAAAACAGGCCCACTTATCTCAATATAACAGCTGTCATTTATGCGTTAGCGCAACAAAACCCTCCCTGTCTTCTTCAAATAATGAGATAAAAACCGGAATTACTCTGTCATGTGCGTCATTTGACTTGAGATAAAGAGAAAATCACCTTAAACATGAAGTTAACATAAAGTTCAAACTTCCACAGATAACCGTCAAATAATTTATACCTCTTCAACTCAGGGCCCAAAGCTTCTACCTCCAGCTCATAAACACTGAGGGTTGGATGTCTGTCACCGTTAAATATTTCATGATATTTCAGAATATCATGAAATATTTTCTCTCAGAAGCCTAAGCCGTTTAAACTGATATCAATCATATCTCGCTCACAGTGTATTCTGCCCATATCTGGATGGTGATTAAAACATTTTCTTAAAAGAGCTCCCGCTGCTAAAGCCAATGCTGTCCACTCCAAAAACAGACCAACAACTTCTTTGGGAACCAATAAATCCATGTGGGGCAAGGGAGGGGGGTGGGGAGTTTCAGGCAGACAGGGAGGATAAAGTGATCTCTGGATGACTAAAGAAATGTGCCGGCCTGCTGAGAAAAAGGCTGCTGGGGGGGGAAGAGTCATTTCTCATGAACACTTTCCATCTGGGACTGGACTGGGTTGGACTTCAGTTTCTTGAAGGGTGGAACGAGCAGGGCCTGACAGCGTATGGTCTCGTCTAACGATGACCGACAGTGTCAGGCACAAACAAACTCAGTTCCATTCATCACAGTGATCTCGGATTTTTCTGAACATATTTACATTGATGAGTGGTGCAGGGATTGTGTGTCCATTTACCAATTGACTTGGTAAGACTAGAAATAAAGGATATCTCTTTTTTGAAATGGACAAAAT